TTGTCTCAGACTAGAAGAGGCTGTGGTTTGCGTGGGCCATTCATCCTGTGGACTAATTGCTTCCTTAAGTCTTGAGTTTCCTTCACCCTCCTTTGCTCCAGATGGGAAGAGACCAATGTCTATTAGATGGCCATTCACAAACTTTTAAGATCCCAGATGCTACTCATCAAACTAGGATGTAGAACGTTATCTTAATGAACTGTGTTATGCCAATTGACCTAGATGTCTAGCTCTCTATTTCTGAAAGGACACAGTTACTGTAAACCCTATGGTACACAGTTCTACCCTGACACACATGGGGTACCCATGAGCTGGAATTCACTCAATGGCAATAGGTTTGGTTTTTCTGTTGTCATTGGTGTTGTTCTCAAATTTAAAAGTTCCTCAACATCATGTTTTGAAATTAGTATTATTTTATGTGAAAAACAGGAATTCAACAATAAACCAAAATGAAATATGAATTTTAATGTTAAAGTCTTCTGACAGTCTCATATATTGCTGGTGGGAAGGTGAAATGGCACAGCCACTCTGGGAAACTGTAAGGCAGTTCCTTTAAAAAATGAAGATACACTTACTATACAGCCCAGCCCAGCAAACACACTCTTGGGCATTTTCTCTAGAGAAATGAAAACTTAACATCCCCACAAAAACCTTTACACCAACTTTCAAACCACTTTTATTTGTAACAACCTAAATCTGGAAACAATCCAAATGTCCTACAACAACTGAATAATTATAGGAGTTGCAGAATGGTACATCTATTGCGTAGAATGCTACTCAGCAATAAAAAGGAATGATACCTGCAACAACTTGGATGGATCTCAAAGTTAGTATGCAGAGTGGGAAAAGCCAATACCAGAAGGTCACATACTTGTGGTTCTGTTTATTTACATGAGATTCTCGACATCTCAAAATTACAGAGATGGAAGTCAGATGAGTGGTTTCCAGGGGTTACAACCAGTGGTGTGTGTGTGTGACTATAAATGTGTGGCAGGAGGGAGATCTCTGCAGTGATGGAATAGTTCTTTCTTTCTTTTCTTTTCTTTTTTTTTTTTTTTTTTTTCTGTACTATGCTTTGGGTACAAATTTACAAAGCAGATTTGTTTTACATTCAACAGTTCATGCAAATTTGATTTCATGCCCTGATTACAATCCTCAACCATAAAAACCTCTCCTCCCCTCTCCTCCCTGTGACTACCCCTTCTTATCTATGTATTCCTGTCTGTCCAGCTTTCCGTCTATGTGAATGCTGCCCATCTGATGTCTCATGGCTGGTTGACCCATGGGATGCATCTCCCTGGGGTAGGTGTTCTGCATGTAGGTCTTTCTACTATTGGGCTGAGAGCCAATCCATGGAAGTGAGTCCATTTGTAGGCCCAAAGGAGGACTCAGGGCCATAGTCTTGGGTGTTCTACCAGTCTATCCAACCAGTAATTCTGGTCATTTTTGTGTTTTTGAATTTTGTTCCACATTTTCCCTTGGTGACAGAACAGCTTTCTATCTTGATTGTGATGGTGGTTACAAGAATCTACACATGTGATTAAATGGCATGAACACACACACACACACACATTTTACCAATGTCAAATTCCTGGTTTTGATTTTGTACGAAAGAGTCAGAGAACACTGCTTACCAGCCAGGGTGGCCGAGGCCTTAGGGAAATGGGCAGGGGGAGCCCTGGATCTCCTTTGAGCCCTTGCTTAAGTAGCTGGAAGGAAATGTGAATATAGATGCCTCTGATGCCAGACCTGGGCTACTGGGAATCGTAGATAACATGTGAATCCAGGTACTAGCTTGTGTTATCTCTGCCTCCTCTTGCTAGCCTGAGCTCCTGATTTGAGCATTATCTGGATGCATGGCCCTAGAAAAACACACTTTTCTCCATGATGCTTCTGGCCCCCAAGAAAGAGAATCTGCCGGGACCACAAGGCCTCATGCTCTGTGGTTCCCCCACTGGACAGAAGCGGGCAGCACACTCAGGCATTCGGAGGTACAGAGAGTGGCCTGTAGTGAGGCCGATTCTGCATGCTCTCTCCAGCCCAGTGAGTCGTGGGATCAGAACCACCCACCTACCTCAATAGTCTCTCCCCCTCTTCCTGTTTACCTCCCCATCTCTCAACCCAGACAAGCCACACATGATTCCACATTCTGTGCTAGAAATGCTCATTTAATGAAAAAGCAAATGCAGAGCAGTGTGTACAGAGTAACTCCATTAAATGCATTCCTGTATATGTATATGGGAGCTCTGGTGGCATAGTGCTTAAGGCACTTGGCTGCTAACCAGAAGGCTGGTGGTTCAAACCCACCAGCCACTCCTCGGAAGGAAGGTTGGGCAATCTACTTCCCTAGTGATACTGCCTCGGAAACCCAAGGAAGGGTCACTATGAGTTGGGTCTGACTCGATGGCACATAACAAAACACACAACATATATGTATATATGGATATCTAGAAATATCTAATAACATCTACAAAGACATACTCCAATTACATATGGATCATATTTATTTCTGTGTTTTCTAAGTTTCCAACAATAAATAAAGATTACTTGTCAATTAAAAATTGTTTTGAGAAAACATCAGACAAGCCCAACTGAGGAGCATTCTACAAAATAACTGATCAGTACTTTTCAAAAGTGTCAAGACAAAGACTGAGGAATTGTCTCACATGAAAGGAAATGGAAGAGAGGTAACAACTAAATGCAATGTGGGATCCTGGACCAGATACACAGACATTGGTGGGAAAACTAGCAAAAATTGAGTAAGGTTTATAGAATTAACAATACAGTATCAATATTTATTTCCTGATTTCGATAATTGTAGCTGCGAGAGATGAACATTAGGGGAAGCTAAGTGAAAAATAAGGAGCCCTTACTGCTCAAGCATTAAGCGCTTGGCTGCTAACAGAAAGGTCAGTGGTTTGAACTCACCAGTTGCTCCATGAGATAAAGATGTGGCAGTCTGCTTCTGTAAAGACTGTAGCCTTGGAAACCTTATGGGACAGTTCTACCCTGTCCTATAAGCTCATTGAGAGTCAGAATTGATACAGTGCCAATGAGTTTGTTTGTTTTTTTAAATGAAGAGTGTATGGGAATTCTCTGTTCTGTTTTTGCAACTTTGCTGTAAATGTAAAACCAAAACCAAACTCACTACCATCGAGTCAATTCTGACTCATAGCAATCTATTGGATTTCCAAGGCTGTAAATCTTTACAGAAGTAAACTGCCTCATCTTTCTTCCGCAGAACAGCTGGTAGATTCGAACCACTGACCTTTTGGTTAGTAGCCACATGTCTGAACCACTACACAACCAGAGCCTTAAATCTAAAATTATTCCAAAATAAAAATAAATGAACATAATTGAACCAATGACAACATCCTCACCCCTAAAATATTTAAAACCCCCAAACCCCAACATAACCATGTCCTCTATTCCACTGGGGAAAGCCTTGATGAGTTCCAGGTGTAGAAGCCTCATGAGGGCAAGTGCCTGCAAGAAGCCACTCTCTTGATGATTCTCACCTGGGCTGCTGGCGTAAGTCTGAAGCCTTGTCCCTCCAGCCTCATGCCAATTGTTCTCTCCTATACACTAGACCTTTCCCTCTTTTGTGCCCCAGCCTGGGAAATCAGCCCGACCAAGCACCTCCCCTCAAGCAGAAGCCACTGTGGAAGAGGACTGTTCGGGAGTCTCTTCTCCAGCAGACAGGAATGACCTGAAGGCAAGAGCTCTGTCACCAGCAGTTTATACATGTGCTCAATAAAAAGCCATAGAGTCAATCTCGTCATGGCAGTCTATGTGGATGCTCCATGGTGAGGAACAGGTCCAAATCCTGGCACATCGAACTTGCAAGGGCACTAAGATGTCATCCATCTGGCAGGAGCCCCACTCTTATGTCCCTGAGGTGGCAGCCCTGGCAGAAACCTGCCTCTTGGGTGGAGTTTCAGTGGGAGCCATCCCAAAGCTGGGCCCACCCTGCTCAACTTCCCTTTCTCGTTGTCATTAACAGACACCCTTTAACTAGTTTACCAAAAAGCCCAAGTCAGGCCCAGCCTTGCAGACAGATGATGAGAGAAGGGCCAATTTAAAGGTAGAATTACTTTCTGTTTTTTCCTCCCTACCCAAGAGCAAGCAGCATTGCTAAAATCATAGCCAGTAGGAAAATATCACTCACAACCTAGATATTTTCAGAAGGGGTTTAAAGGTCAAAACAAATCCCTTTGCCCTGAATTATTTACTGTACCTCAGTCTCCACACTGGTGAAAAAGGGATGATAACAACGAGTTCAGAGAGACGTGGTATTCTGGGAAACATGGTATATGCAGAACTCTGTGGGCTGGGTCACCCAGTCATTGGTAGGGATTAGTGCCACAACGGGGCTGAGAGGTACCTCAGCAGGTAATACGGAGACAGGTTCTTACGTGTAACCGAGGGTACCTAATGTGCCTGTTTCATGGCTGTGCCGTAAGCTACCTTGTGTGTGGAGCACACACAGCCAAAGTTCAAAGTCAGCTAACACGACAATTAAGGAAATCCTGGAAACCTTCTACACAGAAAGACAGTCCTGAGTCCTGCATTTTAAACTTTAGAAAAGAACAAATAAACAAAAACTTGAGGAACAGAAATAATATACTAAATGACCATTTCCATCATCTTCCTGAGAACCCTGGATATTTTAACATCGTGCCTCTACCCCTCCAATTACCAGGACAGCTGTCTTCACCCACAGTGGAGTTTTGTTTTGGAAAGAGGAAAAGCACCCATACTGCAGAAGGGAGGAAATCCTGGTAGAAAGACTCAGGTCAGTGTCAGTGAAACAGACAGCATGCCCCAAGCTCTGAGCCCAGTGTGTGTTGTCTATGTGTGTGTGTGTGTGTGGAGGAGGTGCTACTTAAGACAACAGCAGCCGCTTAAGAAATGAGCTCTGGGTGCCCTTCCCCGGGAGTGGGCGCCACTCTCCACCTGACTGCGTCCTCCCCTCCGGCCGCTCAGATGGCCGCACTCACCAGCTCCGGCAGGAAGAAGGCGTAGGGGATGGTAAGAAACAGCGCGACCCCTAAGGGCACGTCGGGCGGGTTGTAGCTGGTGGCCGGGGGCGGCTCCCGAGAGGCCATCTCTCACCACGCTCGGCGCCCTGGCTCCGCTGCCGCTCGCCGGCTGCAGACCTTCAAATATTACCCCTGCCTGACACACCCATCGGACGTCGCCTGGGAGGGAAATACACGTTCCAGCCTAGCAGGTCCTTCCACTCACTCCAGCCAAAGGAGTCATCAGTGAAACGCAGAGCGAGCATCAGATGGGCCCTCGCTGGCCAGGGCAGGGGAGTAGGGAGGCTCTTTCTTTGCTCTTCTCCCCTGAGGAAGTTTTGAATTCCTTATTACTCCAGTGGATGCTGGTGGTGCAGTAGTTAAAGTGCTCGACTGCTAACCAACAGGCTGTAGGTTTGAATCCACTAGCCACGCCAGGGGAAAAGATGTGGCAGTCTGCTTCTGTAATGATTTACAGCCTTGGAAACTCTATGGAGTAGTTCTGTTCTGTCCTACAGGGTCGCTATGAGTCAGAATCCACTCTATGGCAGTGAGTTTGGTTTGGTTTGGTTTGGTTTGGTTTTATTACTCCAAGCGATGCCAGCTGTGGCCACCCCGCCCCTACTCTGCCCAAAGGATAGGCTGGGGCTGTTTTGGGATGACAAAGTCATTTACTGAGGACCTACACTAGACAACTAAGCTAAAAGGTTGGTGCTATGAACCCACTCTGCAGCACTATGGAAGAAAAGCCTCGTGATCTGCTTTCTTAAAGATTATCCCAAGAAAGTGGTTTTACTCTGACACCCATGGAGTCAATGTGAGTCAGAATCAGCTAAATGGCAACGGGTTGCTGTGAGCCAAGCACTCTACAGATAACTGGTGCTCATGACAGTTCTGCTCTTGGCTTTTCCAGGTGAGGAGACTGAGAAGTAGATCAAGTAACTTGACCAGGTTTACAGGGCTGGTCATTGGCAGTCAGCACCTCCTGTGTGACTCCTTTCTTCTCCACCCTTGGGGATAAAACCCAGCTTTAAACCAGAGTGGAGAGGAGCAGCCTTCACTTCCAACTAACTCTCGACCTGGGGAACTTGGCATTTTCCTTCTTTCTCTGGATCCCTCTTCATAGCTCCTTCCTGTTCTTGTTTCTGAGAGAGGCATGCCATAGTAGCCCTGCTCCTCTCTCTGTGGCCTGGACCAAGGATGGGTGCCCAAAGAGGGCCCTGCTGGACTAATTGGGTGTTGCCCAAGCATGAACTCTCCTTCCCTCTCTGCCCATCCTGTCTCCCTTCATTCCTAACTGTACCGAAGCCAAGGGCAGGCTTGTGGCCAGGCAGTTCCTTCCTGGCACCCGCCCACCTGTGAGGGCTGGTTCAAGTCTGTGACCCACAGCCAAACAACCCCTTTCACATAAATGACAGGTCCTGGAGATTGAGCCCTTCTCTTTATCCTAGAACAGGTTAACCTTCATTTCTCTGACTGGCCCTGCAGAAAGGCCTGGTGCTACAGGTGCAGCTGTAGAGTTTGCTCATGATGAAAGGGGCTTGAGGCTCCCTTTTGCCAGCCTTCTGTGGCCTCAGCAGGCCATTTGAGAGGCCACTCCTCTGTGGAGAAAGGATGTGAGGAGGATTACTGTGAGTGTTGGGGTAATTAGATGTCCTTTAGCAAGGGGCTTGGGAAGAACCAGTGTTATGTTCATTAACAAGAGCAGTGAATTCCAGGGCTTGCCTTCTAGGGTACAGGAGGGTGGAGCTGCCAGTCAGCCTTTGCCTTATCTGGGGGAAAGCCAAGGGAGAGGGGAAGAGTTTGGACAAATGAAGCCAAAAGCAAAGGCACTGTGGCTCTTATTAATTAACATGACACTGGTTCTTCCCAGGCCACTTGCTAAAGGACATCTAATTACCCCAGCACAGTGGCTGCAACTATGGGCTCAGGTACAGCAAGGCTCCTGAAGCTGGCACAGGGCCGGGCAGTGTTTTGTTCTGCTGTATGTAGGATCGCTACGAGTAGGAGATGACTAGACGGCACCTAACAACAACAACAGTTTTCCATTTGTTAGTTATGTTGTTTGTTGTTGTTAAGTGCCGTCGAGTCGTTTCCGACTCATAGCGACCCCATGCACAGCAGAACGAAACACTGCCCGATCCCGCGCCAGCCCCACAATCCCTGCTATACTTGAGCCCATCATCACAGCCACCGTGTCAATCCATCTCGTTGAAGGCTTCCCCCTCTTTCGTCGACCCTCCACCCTACCAAGCATGACATCCTTCTCTAGGGAATGGTCCCTTCTGACAACATGACCAAAATAGGTGAGATGGAGTCTGGCCATTCTTGCTTCCAAGGAGCATTCTGGCTGCACTTCCTCCAGGACAGATCTGTTAGTTCTATTAGCAGTCTGGTAGCATAGTGCCTAAGGCACTTGACTGCTCACCAGAAGGCTGGTGGTTCAAATCCACCAGCCACTCCTTGGATGGAAGGTTGGGCAATCCTACTTCTGTAGTGATACTGCCTCGAAAACCCAAGGAGGGGTCGCCATGAGTTGGGGCCGACTCAACGGCAAACAACAACAACAATTTGCTAGTTGGACAGGATTAAATGAGATAATATATAAGAAAGCAACTAGGGCAGTCTGTCATATGGTAGCTGCTTACTAAGAACCTGTTTATCTAATCCTAATCCTGAAGTCAGTTCTCTTTTGGCTAGCTTTATTATCCAGAATAAGACCAACACCTTCTCTAGTCAGTATTTCCATTCTGATTTTTAAAAATTATTTTAAAATTATTTTTATTGATGTGCATAAAACACACAGACCATGAAACCACCACCCAGGTCAAGAAATAGGACATTGCCAGCCCCTTCCCAATAATTTCCCTCTCCCTCTTCCCCAAAGACAACCACTCTCCTGACCTCTAACCCCACAGATAGGTTTTATCTATTTTTGGATGGAATAATATAGCATGGATTCCTTTGTATCCGACTTCTTTCACTCAACATTATGCTTGCGAGGCTCCTCCATGATCTTGTGTGTGGCTGTAGTCAATTCACTGCCATATAGTATTCTGTTGTATCAATATATTGCACTTTATTTACCCATTCTATTGTTGATAACCAAAAATCAAACCCACTGCCATCGAGTCAATTCTGACTCATAGCCACCCCCATTGGGTTTCCAAGGAGGTAAATCTTTACGGAAGCAGGTTGCCCAGTCTTGTTTCTGTGGAGTTCTATTGTTGACAGGCATTTAAATTCTTTAAATATGGGGTTATTATAAATAATACTGCTATGAACATATAGAACAGGTCTTTGGGTGCAGGTATGTATGTATTTTTGGTTGGGGATAGTCTTAGGAATGGCGTTGTGGGTATGCATTTTTAGCAAATAATGTCAAACTATTCTCTAAAGTAAATGAACCATTTACATTCCCACCAACAATATATTTGAGTTACAGTTTCTTATAATTAGTCTTTGCATAGGTTCCTAGGTGGCACAAATGGTGTGTGCTCAGCTGCTAACTTAAAGGTTGTAGGTTTGAACTCACCCAATGATACCTTGGAAGATACACCTGGGATGTGCTTCAGTTAAGATTACAGCCCAGAAGACCCTATGGAGCAGTTCTACTCTGTAACACATGGAGTTACAATGAGTCAGAATTAACATGCTGGCACCTAACAACAGCAACAGTGTCTGCACGTATAATACACTTGGTGCTTACATGGTATATGTTGTTTTATCCTTTTATTTTTAACTTTCCTGTTGTTGTTGTTGTAACCATCAAAGATAAACGATATTGATTTGGCTCATAGTAAGCCCATGGGACAGAGTTGAACTGCCTCGTAGGGTTTTGTAGGCTGTAATCGTTATGGAAGCAGACTGCCACATCTTTCTTCCATGGAGCTGCTAAGTGGGTTCAAACTGCCAACCTTTTGGTTAGCAGCTGAGCACTTAACCATTGTACCACCAGAGATCTTTGTTTAATTGACCTATACCACAATACTGATAATGGCTTTTCTGTGGATGCAGTCTTCTGGATTCTCTAGAGGAACAAAACCAGTTAAGCATATATAATATAAAAAATCACTCACTGCCATTGAGTTGGATCCGACTCATAGCGACCCCTCCTTGGGTTTCATTTCCCTTCCCTCTGAAAAACTTCTAAAGATCAGGTATGATGGCAATGAATGATCTTAGTCTTCCTTCATCTGAGAATGTCTTTATTTCACCTTCATTGCTGAAGGATATTTTTGCAGAATGTAGAATTCTCGGTGACAAGTTTTTCTTTCAATTAGCACTTTCAAAATGCTGCTTCACTGCCTTCTAGCATCTATGGTTTTCATGAGGATTCTACAGTCATTTCCATTGTCATTCCCTGTTGTTATGGATTGCATTGGGTTTCCCCAAAACCTCTGTCGTAAATCCTAACCACTACACCTGTGGATGTAATCCCATTTGGGAATAGGGTTTTCTCCCTTATGTTATGAGGACACATCAGTGTAGGGTGTGTGTGTGAAGTCCATCACTTCTGAGATATAAAAAGAGTGGATTAGGCACAGAGCTAGAAAGCAGAGATGGGGGAGATAGATGCCACGCTACGTGAAGACTGCCAAGGAACCAGGGGAACACCAGCTGAAGAGACAAGAACCTTCTCCCAGAGTTGACAGAGAGACAAATCTCTCCCCTGGAGCTAGCTCCTTGAATTCAGATTCCCAGCATCCTAAACTATGAGAAAATAAATCACTGTTTGTTAAAACTATCCACTTGAGGTATTTCTGTTATAGTAGCACTGAAAAACTAAGACAACTATATTTAATGCTTTGTTTTTGTTCTGGATGTTTCCAAGATTTGTTCTTTAATTTTAGTAACTTGATTACTATATAACTGGGCATGGATTTCTTTGATCTTATTCTGTTTGGTGTTACTGAGTTTCTTGAATCTGTAACTTTGTCTTTCTCCAATTTGGGAAAGATGTTATTTCTTCAAGTATATTTTATTTTCTTCACTACACTCTTCATCTCCTTCTGCTGTGACTTGGATGACATGAATGTTAGTGTTGTTGGTATTATCCCACAGGTTTCTAAGGATTTGTTTCTTTT